TATTTTGCTTTCTGTTTAGTACAATGCCTTACTGGGTATTACCCGAGATTTTTTTTTCGCTATCTGAGGTTTTTCCAAACGAGTACCACCATTTATATATATATATATATATATATATATATATATATATGCAATGATAATACACTCTTAAGTAGGTCATCAGTTCAACACATGCAATTTTCACTTTTTGAATCTCTTGTAAGCAGATGCCATCAGAGATTTTGTTAATCTTTTTGTGTGTACTATTTCATCATACCCAGTGCTCCAGTTATTATAGGTCTGACAGTAGTTTTAACGTATCACTTTTTCAGTTTCAATTTTAAGATACTTATAATATTTTGCATATCTTTAACAGATTTAGTTTTATCTTATCGCACTGCCATATGTATAAGAAGACATTTTTTTGTTTGTTTGTAGTCTTTAATGACAATATATGGGCGCTTAGCCATTAGATGGCTTTCAGTGATTATTATTCAACGCTGCGAGGTTTGGATAATTCCGACTTTTTCTTGAATTTAAAATTATCTAAATATTGTTTTTTCTTAATGTTTTATTTCTTACTTTGTCTTTGGTATGAGAACGGTCTCAAGTATACTCCATGATTACCAGGCTTATTTTTCTTAAGTCATCACAATCATCACACGAGCACAAGGATTTCTTGTTACAATTATCATATTTTACAAAAAATCTATTATATTTACAAGAAGAAGAAGAAATTAAAGAGAACAAAAGTAGGAAAAAGGAATGGAAAGTGAAGAGGAAAAAATTGAACAATAAGGAGAACAAGAAGAAGTGGGGTAAAATGGGCCGATGGATAAATGCAGGAAAGAACAGATAAAGGGAAAAGAAAGATAAGCAGATAAATAGAGATTGAGAGAGACAAGAAGAGATTCAAACTACAGTCAAGAAACAAATTAAAGCTTTTTTTTTTCTCACTTCAGTGCTAATCTCCTTCAAAACGAAATAAAACACAAAAATATATAAAAATGTATTGTAAAAGGAAAAGCAAAACCATGATAGAAATAAAAAGGAAAAAAAATAAAACTTCCCCTTAAAAAAATAATGAGAGCACAAAGTGGGGACGCAAAAATATAATTTGTGCAATTTTATTTTGGACAGTCGCATAATCAGCTTTTTCGTCATTGTTGTAAGTGCAGGAAAGGTGGCACGATTCTGGTATTAAGAAGGATCAAGGTCTGAACGAAGTGCGCATGCGTTGGAAATAATATCAATTCATTTGCATACCAATAGTTTGAGAACCTTTTTAAGAGGTGACAACCTATGAAAGCCAGAGGTTGCTGTCTCGCCATGAGCGTATTAGTTTCACAGATCATTAACATTGTAGTGAAATTCACTTTGGGTAACCCACACTTGTGGCCATGAGCCATACTCAGTTGAGTAAACAGCAAGTATCCTGGGTAACACACCGTGGGGTTATACTAGTCTTACAAACAGTTATTTCTGAAATGAGTTTAATCCTCCCAAGGCATATGATAACCGTTCATTGCTACTGGTTTGTCAAGTGATCTTTGTTAGATTCTTTTAACAAATACATAAAGGAATTAGTAGAGGTTCTGTGTCCAAAATCAAATTGGAAAACCAGCTATTAATTCAATATCGAATAAAATACTTCAGATCATGACATTGGTATTAAATGAGTGTTTTAAAGAAATATTTATTGACATAGCGAGGTTTTGCATGCATTTTACGTTAAAACGTGTTTTGTTTTTACTAATGTTCAACCGAATACATGGCTTGAGAGCCAACCAGGATCAAGTGTTATTGTCAAGATGATTCTGAAGAATGAGTTACGTGATATGAATGAAAAAGAGAATGTAAGAAGTGAAGATTATGATATAAGGGTGGGGATCCAGACTGGAAGGTGAGGATTGAGCAGCTCCAGCCCGGATATGGTAGCAACACCCTATTTTTGGTCTGATTTCACTCTTGTAAAGATAAAGCATGGCAGAAAGAGCCAGGTGCTTCTTGAACCAACTATTTAGCACCTATAGCAATGGATCGTGTATATGAGTTCCATTTCACGTCTAGAGTGACGTTGAGACCCAATAAACGTTCAAAGCACGAAGCCTCATTGTTCATCATAATTAGAGAAGAGTCAGAACGATAAAATGACAACTGACGATGGAATTCTATATTTTTGTTGATCCCATCAAAGTATTTTTGCAATATACCGTTGTATATTGAGTTCGTAAATTTCTCTTTCGCTGCTTTTGTGGCATTCTTTGGTAGGTTGTGTTTTTACGTTGTTAGATAATTGAAGCTGCATTTAGTTGAATCGTGTCAACCTTGATTAACACACCATAGAATGAGAATCTATAATAATTTACTTTCTTTCCTTCAGCAATGATCTCTGAACAGGATCTAATCACTACCTAGATATGCAAAGGATTTATACAATTTTATGTTTCAAGACAAAGTACAAATTAATGTTAATCTTCACAATTATCAGAAAACAACTTATATTTGTCAAAACTAAGTAAATACACATTTAACAAAGCTTGACTGCATTCAAGCACACAATGTGCCAGAAAATAAAATTCCTCTTTTAAAATTGATTCAATCTGTGCAATTATATTTACTTTCTGAAATCAAAATAATAATGCTTCTCTTTCGGTGTCTTCCCGTGGAGCAAAGGTTAGCAAACTAATTTCCCAGACTACTTTAATAACTTCGATCTTTACTACGTAAACTCAAGTTCGTAGCCTTGTACCAGGTTTAGCTAATTCCATTAAGTATCGATAATATATAAAACCTGAGATTCAACGTTGTCTAAAGTGTGTTCACATTTCAATTAGTGACCTACACATGTGACCTGATGCCAATCTAAATTTAAGTTTAGTAAATAGTAATAATGCGGTCAAATGTCTAAGATTATATAAATAGCTGATGTTTTCATGGTACAAGAATTATCAAGATATTTTTTTTTTATCATTGTCTTTGTTGGTTTTATTAGTGTTTAAGGCGTATATCTTCAGCCTTCCTCAAGTGTGTGCTGCTTTCGGCAATTCTTGATAAGAAATGAGTTCAGAAAATTTTGTATCAAAGTTGAATAGGAATATTTTTACTGAGACTCGAACACCGACCACAAATACCGCAGATGCTGAAGTGAAGCGACAGCTGAAGATAGAATTGAATGTGGTGTTGTTTGTTCTGTTGAACAATCACTTAATGCTACAGGAAGTAATTATATATATATATATATATATATATATATATATATATATATATATATATATATATATATAGAGAGAGAGAGAGAGAGAGAGAGAGGGGAGAGAGACAATATTTGTGGTAAATATACACATACATATGCAATCATATATCTAAAATATACATACATACATACATACATACATACATACATATATATTTGTATAAAAAATAAATCCAAGAGGATAGAATCCAGGTAGACCTCAATGTTCAGGACAGAGTAAGGATATAATATAATAAAGAAAATAATTTTTCATTATATATATATATATATATATAGTGCATAGGAGCAGTAGATCATTGTTCAAATAGATATTGCGAAATATACCAGACAATGAATGTCTATTATGTTTTATCATGAGCCTTTCCAAGCATCGTATAATGGCTTTAGTTTCAAGAGAAAATAATGACAACTTTCCAACATTTGGATATTCCTTTATTGTATTAGTCGTCGCTCTAAGCTTTCGACTAACATGAACCATCATCAGAGTCGTTATATGGACATTACAAGAGAGATGTTCACCATTAAAGATGATATTCTATTTGTTTACATAGAAGTTTGTTATGCGACGATAACATAAATTCTTAATGCGGTTCTATGCTGTCGTACATGACCACGTGAGAGAAAAAATGTTGTCAACAGAACCACGTGTTTAAATGCAGTGTAATATGCTGTAACTGGTTCAAAATGTAATTTTGTTGAGTGTGGGTTATTTTGTTTTAATGTAGGTGGCCTCTAATATATTAAGGTTTTTTTTACTGTGTATATATATATGAGCATTGTTGAGTTGTCAACTAATATCTGTCTATTATTATGTGCATAGATGTGTTTTTTTTTTCTAAGAAATGTTTTATGGAACTATGATGAGAAAGGTGACATGTAAGTACATGGGAGAACTTGGTTGTAATAAATACAATATATATCGTGGGTTTATTATTAGTATCAGAGGTATCTCTGATACTAATAATCTCTGAACGGGAATGTGAATTGATACGCTACATTGGCTTTTGTAGAGGGTTTAGTTGTGTGGTTGTAGGGTTACTGGAGACTATGAGGTCAATTGTTTTAAATTTTTATAATATATGATGAGCTTAACTTGTTTATTATTCTTATACATATATGAATAAAAAGTGACAAGAGGAAAAACTATACTTAGCCGACGCGTTTCGTCCGCTGAAGGACTTTGCCAAGGCACCGTAGGATTTAACACGAAGCATGTGTTTATATACACAGAGGCAAGGATGTTGTTCGTTTATCAAGGCTTGTAAATTTGAAAACATTCATAAACGTTCATCAGGTGTTTGAAAGGTCAGCCAAAATATGTGGAGGATTGTGTATATAAACATGTGTAGCATATCTACATTGCTTCGAAAAAGTCCCTCAGAGGAAGAAAGGCGTCAGATAAGTATAGTTTTTTTCTCTTATCTGTTTTATTCATTTTATCTCTTCTACACATACACTCCATCTGAGAAGTTTTGCACACACACACACACATATATATATATATATATATATTATATATATATATATATATATGTGTGTGTGTGTGTCAAATATTTTTCTTTTCTCCCACTACTCTCTTCAATAATATAGATCCTTAGATAATTTTTTCTAAGACTTTAGTTCCAGTTGTGATTTATTTTAAAAAATTTTTAACATATTGTCTGGATAAATTTAAACTATTTTGTCATTTCTGTCTAATGAGGCAGGTATTAAAAAATTAACTGCTGAAATAAATTTATTACTGAATTTTTCGAGGGCTACTTGGATGATCCTTTCCACTTACGGATTATCTATCTATCTATCTATCTATCTATCTATCTATCTAATATATATATATATGAATGAAAAAACAAGTGGAAAACTATACTTAGTTTAGACGACGGACTTTATCAAGGCAAATGCGATGGGGTTATTTTATTTTGCAACAAGTATATATATATTTGACAGTTACTCAAAATTTCAAAATTTAAGAAATTTGAAATTTTGAGTAAATGTCAAATATATAATTACTGCAAAATAAATCCATCACATTTGCCTTGATAAAGTCCCTTGGATGACGAAACGCATCGACTAAACTAAGTATGGTTTCCCTCTTGTCTTTTCATTTACTTTGTCTCTTCTACAGATATACTCCATCTGAGAATATTTTTACACACACAAATATGCATTATATATATATATATATATTATCTATCTATCTATCTATCTATCTATATATATATATATATATAGAGAGAGAGAGAGTTTGTGTGTGAGAGGGATAGAGAGAGAGAGAGAGAGAGAGAGAGAGAGAGAGAGCAAGAAAGAGATTCCGACCTATCAACCCATGGTACAGCATTTAAATAATAGGCGATATCGAGTCTGATTCCCAGAGCCGGAGTGAGTCGTTTTATGCTCATCAACATATTTGTCATTCTTATTCTTTTCATTGATGCGTACGCATGCATCTCGTATCATAAACGTATAAACGACTACGTTTCAAAAAAAGCTTCATGGCAAATATTTTGCGGTGAGGAGGAAGAAATATTATTAACCAATCCATTAAAAGGTTTGGAGATTATCTTTTAAGGCTTCTTATTAGGTCTGAAACACGAATCGGTGCTGCCATTTTAATACACTGACTGTAGAATCGGAAATAATCCTAGAGAAAATAACTCACCTCTCAGATTATTTGTTTTCTGATAAGACCGTTCTCTAATTACAGTTGGGACACGTCTCATCTTACACCGTCTTTTCAGTGAAGACTTCGTGCAAAATTTCCCGTATGCACATTTAATTCTCTTGAGACTTGCAGTTGCGTACGTTTTGTTTTGTGTATTTCACATGGCTGGTTTTCTGATGCTTTTGCAATGAGGCAAATCATACCTGTCGTGATGCAGAGGTTAGCGAACAACTGGGTGAGTGTATTTGCAGCTGGTGTGTCGATGGGTAAGATTTTCAATGAATTTAATAAAAGGACCAGGCCATGCATGGCTTCATAAATCACTCAAATAGATATAATTACATAAATTCAGTATCCTTTGTACCAACTGTTTATGAAGATGCTAGAAAGGTTCACTTGCTTGGAATGTTTGTTGCATCCAAGTAACTTAGAAAATGGTTTAGCCTTTACCTTTATAAAAATTTACGGAAACATAAACGTTAGACATTTTTTATTTAATCATTTCACTCTAAGGCTTATTGCAAGTTTTAAGGTGCCATCTTTTTCAGTTTCAATTTAACGATCCCTATATTTATTTTGTACATACTTTGATAGATTTATTTTTATCTGCTAACACTTCCATATTTATGAGAAGGTAGACTTTAATCACAATATACTGTCCATTAGGATTAAATGAAGATTATGATGATAAAGGAGATTAAGTCACTAAAACGGAAGTGTTTACTATATTCACAATCAAGAATATGAGAAAATAGAAAAAATTTTTTTTTATGGAACAAGAACAATAAATGAGCAGGAATTAAGACGACAGAAGATGATGATTGGCATTGATTTTAATTTTTGAAGATCAAAGTTGTCTGGAAAGCAATTGGCTGGAAGGAAGTTCCACAAGCGAGAAGTGCTAAAGAAGAAAATTTTAGCACAGAACTTGCGGTTACATCTAGCAATTTCAACTGGGAAATGATGAAACCAGGCAACCAATCTAGTACTGCGCTTAAATTCGTAAAGTCGATGTATCAAAGAGGAAAGCTCATCAGAAGAATTACCATGAAAATATTTATAGAAAAAGCACAGAGAATCTACATTAGGTCTGTGGGAAAGTGACTGAAGCTGGGATGCCAGACCAGGACCGATGACATTGCAGATTCTTCTTTGTATTTCATCAAGAATCTGTAAATACATAGCAGAAGCACCGGACCAGATGTAGCAGCAATATTCAATGCATGGACGAATGGTAAACTCATATATTTGTAAAATAGATTCTGGTGAGAAAACCAATGTCTTGCAGGACACAGTGACCTCATGGGTACTAAGATTGTCATTGCCCGAGTTAGGTTACTTTTTCATTAATATTCTATGGGTGGATTCTTTCTAGAGTCATCATATATAAATTTCGGACCAACTATCTTCTTTAAATAGTGAACAAAAAGAACTCGATTTTATTTACTATCTGTTTTACCAGGCGCTTTGTCATTTATAATTTATGATAGCACTGTAGAGATTTATACATAACCTAAAATAAATACAGTGACATGAAATCACTATACGTTGTATCAATTACTTATAAAAATTCTATCAGAATTATTGCATCCAATTAATTCAAAATATTGTTCCAGGTTCCCTTTATAAAACTTTGGAAAAACACATATAAATAGAAATAAATATAGAATAAAAAAAGAAAGATTAAAATAAAAAAAACTGAAATAAAAATATAGAAAGATATACATTAAGATATTGAAGCTGAATGAGTTCGGTTAGGTTATACATCTAAATTTATCGAACGCCAAAACTTTTAAAACTAAACTTAAAGCTAAGTCTCCTCCTATCTTTTTTGTATCATTATGAAATTGTAACCAGTGATGGTTGTCTATCTCACTACTAGCTATATAAAAGTGACTCCATCGATAAAACTATTATTAGTCTGAAAAAACAAAAAAACAAAAAAAAAAAAGCTCCTGCTCGGAATGATACGTGCAACGTAGGGTTTTTTCTCATATTGTCATTTTGTCATTCAGTTACCCACTAGAAAGGTATTAGCCTTATTAGGAGAGGATTTTAATATTTCTCAACATATAAGTTCATGACCTCGCTAAATTATATGGGATAGTAAACTGTAATTTGATACATCCCTATACCATTTAGAAAGACGTTTCTTTAACTATCTTTTTAGAATTCAACTATAATCTATAAAGATTTTTATCATTTTTCTACACGATATATGTATACACGAAAAGATATGCAAAAGTGAAATAACTTAATAAACTTGAAAGACATTGTCGTTAAATATGAGAGAAGGAAGAGTTTGTAAGTCTTTTTATTTAGTGTTTCTAGTGTACCTGCTATTTTTATGAGGTGTAGAAAATGGACAGTTCTACGTAAATCTTCTGTCCTCATAAAAATTGTAAGGATACATGAAAATTGTATAAAACATGTATTAAAGAAGGATTGCACACACACACACACACACACACACACACACACACATATATATATATATATATATATATATATATATATATATATATTCGTCTACGAGATCTTAGACAAAAATATGCAACCTCTGATTCGAATCCTGCCAGTAAGATCATATTTTTTTCTTTAATAAGATTTCTTGAATATTCAGGCCAGTGGACAAAAATAAATATGCCGTTTAATAAAAAACGAACCCTTTACTTATAAATGCACACACGCACATAAACACACACACACACACATATATATTCATCGAGCCTAGAAGAATCCTCAACAGAACGCAGAAAGCATTGGACGGCCGTTTCGTCCTGTTTGGGACATCTTAGCAGTGCGCATCCGAGAATCGAACCTGGCCACGTAAGATACAACGCAAGCGTCACAGCACTGGTACAACGGGCCTCGGCGCCGAAGAAGAAACTAACTATACTCAATATAGCGCAGCTACTCACTAAATTCCGGTGGGGATACTCATCCAAATATACATAACTCAAGGTATGGCGCTTGCGTTGTATCGTAACGATCCGGGTTCGATTCTCGCTAGTGGATGCACACTGCTGAGGAGTTCCAAATAGGATGAAACGGTCGTCCAGTGCTTTCTGCATTCTGTTGAGGACTCTTCTGGACTATGAATGAATATTTAAATTCCCCCAAATTCTATTACACACACACACACACACACACACACACACACACACACACACACACATACATACATACATATATATTGTCATTCAAAACAGCCTATTTCGCTCTATCACAGCTCTTCATTGTGGCTAGACGTTCGATTGCTTCGGCTATATATATTAATAATATTTTTAAATACTAAAGAACGGTACGTTCTTAATCTGTCTGTTCTTTCTCTTTATATATATATATATATTCTGTTCATTATTACTACACTATTTTTTAAATGGATTTAGTTTTGATTGTTTCGATGGAGTCGATCAACCAGATAACTTCATTGGCATTCATTTTGGCAATGTGCCATACTACACAAAACTTTGTAAATATAATAAATATCGATAACTTATGAAATTTGTCTCAAAGAACAATTAGTGCAGTGAGCTCTATCATCACTGGGTGCTCTGTTACTGTAGCCTTGTGTCGGACTAAACTAAATTGAGTAAATTAGCCCAGACAGCCATCTGAAGCTTCATTAGCCTGTTCTATTTTCGAATTTTCTCGTTTGAAATTTATGAGTATTTATTTAACCTAATTTCACTTCTCCATATCTGGAACAAGCGAGAAACATAACTATGCCAAAAAGAAAGAAAGAATAAAAGAAAGAAGGCACGAAATGAATGAATGAATAAATGAATGAATGAAAGGTCGTATAAGACCGTGTTTCACTCGTTGCAAGCAAGAATGGGAAACCCTCCAATTATATACGCAAGTAAATGAACTTGCCACTGGTTTCCTAATAATTGACATTATCAAATATCATTGTCCATCCTTAACAGAATCCCAATCTTCTGACACTTTCGCCCTGGAGACTGCTGACATTCTTTCTTTCTTTAATCTGCCTTTCTTTCTTTGATTTTCTTTTTTTTTTTCCAACTGCGTTCTTTCTTTCTATGAAGTTTCTATTTTCTTTCTTTCTTATGATTTGAATCTTTTTTATTTTCTTTTCTTTTTCTTATGATTTGAATCTTTTTTTTATTTCGATGATTTCTTTCTTTCTTTCTTTCCAATTGAATAGCTTCTTTTTTCTTTCTTTCTTTTTCTTTCTTTCTTCTTTCTTTTTCTTTCTACATAGTCATTTCTCTTTCTTTCTTTCTTTCTTTCTTTCTTTCTTTTTCTTTTTTCTTTTTCTTTCCATTTCTTTCTTTCTTTCTTTCTTTCTTTCTACATAGCTTGTCTTTTCTTTCTTTCTTTCTTTCTTTCTTTCTTTCTTTCTTTCTTTCTTTCTTTTCTTTCTTTCTTTCACTTGTATCTTACGTTCTCACCTCTGATTTTCTTCGAACCTTTTGCCCATCATTCCATTTGCTCCTACCAATTCAACAACCCCTTTTTCCAAACTCGCCCTCCAACCAAACAACCTGCCTACCAGTCGATTCTTGCCACGCTTCTGCAACTCCCCACCTTCATCTACTCGACCCCCACCGGCCACATTACCACAACTACCTTGTCCCCAGCACACTGTGGCTTCTATTCTCCGGATCCCATTATCTTATCCTGCCAACGCCGTCTCATTCCTCCTTTTTAATACTCCTGAATATGTCTTCCACTTGTATCTTACCTCCCTGGGCTGGCTCAACAACAGCGTTTTCAATTTTTGATGATTTATCACTTTCCCTCTCTCTCTCTCTCGCTCTCTCTCGCTCTATCTATCTTTGTTTGATGGACTTTTTTTTCTTATTTTCATTGGCTGATTCTTCTGTTCTTTCTTTACAGCTCTTGTGTTTTTTTTTACCGGAGAGAGAGAAAGAGAGAGAGACAGAGAGAAAATAGACAGAGAGACAGAGACAGAGAAGATGAGACAGAGAGAAAGAGAGAGTGAGAGGGAGGGGGAAGTGGGAATATTTTGGGACATAGAGTAAACAATTATTCGTAGAAATGTTGGAGTAAGAGTGAGAGAGAGAGAGAGTAAGAGTGAGAGAGAGAAAGAGAGAGAGAGAGTAAAAAGTATGAAAAATATAAAGAATAGAACAAAAAAGTAGAAACAGGAGAATATATTGAGAGAAGATGAGAGGCATTGGATTTGAAGAAATAAGAAAGAATGATTGAAAACCAAAAAAAAAAAAAAACCAAAAAACAGGAAGAGATTGGTTAAAAAATGACAGACAATAGATGAGAGCGTGATTAAGACTGGACATGAAAGAAGAAAGGTTGTTTCATCATCCGGGTATCTCAGATTTGAAGAAACAAGTGTGTCATTAGCTTTTATGCAAGATTGGCTAGCTTGCAGTCTTATGACATTTTGTAATTCCCACCGATGCAAGTGATCGGTGTTCGAATTCAGTTAAAAGTCATGATTTCAAATACTGATTTTCAAGACAGACATATCCCCTTCCCTTATAAAAATGTTTCTATTCTTACTTTTCCAGGTTTTGCCTAAAGCATAATAAATATCATTTTCTCAAGAAGTTGGAAGATTAACGCTGAAGCAGCATTTTTTCTTTGTTTTCATGGCAACTGAAATCGACCTTCAGCGTTATTGACGAGCATAAAAAGATTCTCTGAAACTTGCAATGAAAAATCAACTGAAATTAATATGAAAAATATTATTTTATTTTATATTCCTTACGATAATTAATTGAGACTGAAAACTGAAAATGTACATCTTTAAATTGTGAGATGTGTGAGTAGTGTAATGGTTATGAGCTTGGAGAGGGCAATCGAGGCGCATCATCTTCACATCGGCGAAATTCGCGAGCATCATTATCATTTACGCCTAAATGCTTTTGTAAAAGGCACGGTTCCATTTTTTTCTCCCATCAGCTATGACAGGATAGGCTTGGGATGGGCTGGGTTGAGCTCTCTAGATTTTGGTGGCAACCAGTATCAGAGATGGAAAACACTGAATTCAAAACTTCGTTGAAGGCAACAGAAACCACTCCTCTGTCTTTACCAAGAATGCTTGGTAATTCACAAATCATAAAGGAAAGGAATTTGTGGAGAGACATGATCGCCTATGTCCTGAAAGGAGACGGCATTAAAAAAAAATGTAGCATAACTGGCGTAGTCGACGAATTGAACAAACTCGCTCAACTTCCTTCTGTCAAGAACCTGCAACATATTGTAATTTAATTCACCATAATTATAAGCAATATGAAACATTAATATTCGTGGGTATTTTTAATTGAATGACGTAGACATATATATATATATATATATATATATATATATATATAGAGAGAGAGAGAGAGAGAGAGAGAGAGAGGCAGCAATCCTTCTTTAATACATGTTTTATACAATTTTCATGTATCCTTACAATTTTTATGAGGACAGAAGATTTACGTAGAACTGTCCATTTTCTACACCTCATAAAAATAGCAGGTACACTAGAAACACTAAATAAAAAGACTTACACACTCTTCCTTCTCTGTCATATTTAACGACAATGTCTTTCAAGTTTATTAAGTTATTTCACTTTTGCATGTCTTTTCGTGTATATATATACGTGTAGAAAAATGATAAAAATCTTTATAGATTATAGTTGAATTCTAAAAAGATAGTTAAAGAAACGTCTTTCTAAATGGTATAGGGATGTATCAAATTACAGTTTACATATGTTCACATATTTGTATAGGTGTTGCTATTGACACAAAGTTTCGGCTAAGAATCCTCATAGCATATTCAGGCGACCATTGCTTGGCTGATATGGGACATCTGTTGATGATTTTGTTATTTGCCCCTGTTATGACAGTTACGATTCTTTTCTACTCAACTAGTTTCACTACCCGATCCAGAGATTGAACACCGTAACACATGTTTATGCAACTCCTATATCAACGTCACCAAATGATTATCTTTTGAGAATTTTGTACTACATATTTGGGATGAGGAAGTGTTAATATATTTTCATTATATTTATATATTTTACATATTTTATTCGAATAATTATTCTGATCTTGGTTATGTCTGTTATTATAGATAAAACGTTTCGACCAAGAACCTTTTGTCCATCTTTAGGTGTCTGTTGTTTTTGGTTGATATGGGATATCTGTTGATTTTTTACATTAATTTTTATTTAATTATTTATTGTTTACGTGTGATTTTCGAAAATGCTATTCTACATCATTCTATCATTTATTACTGCAGTTGCTATCTTTTATTTTATAATTTGGTTTTATTCTGTTAACAGTTAACTGTTATGATTATTTTTCTGAGTTCGATTTTGACTGCTAGAAAACGGAACAAGAAAGTAAATACTGAAGAGACTTTTAATATATCCCGGAAACTTGCTATGCCTATATTATCCAAGTCAAAAAGCCTGTAGGAGTCGGGGTTCTGACATTAGTACTTCTTCCTATTATCTTCTTGTTTATTTGACGCCATTTTAGCCACCTAGCTGAACGTATAGTAAAACAGAATAAGAATATTCACGTGATGTGAATGCACTTGTTTTGCTGCTATGAATTGTTGAATTAAAGTTTTTCTGAAATTCCTCATTAGATACGTTGCGGAAATTGCCAGCAGGAACATGATACAGTCAATTTTCGAGCGAATCCTCTCTCTATTTTTAATCAACTGCTTTCTTTCTCGCTTGATTGTATTTGAATACAACGCGAAATCATCGATACTCATTCACTGTTGACTTTTTTTGTTAACGTCAAATGGCATATCACTTGGTAGTCAATACATATTTCTTCCATAAGAATATCGCTATATCTAGAAATGACAGAATTCCTGTAATTCTTTTAATTACATCGTTACCGAAATATGCCGAAAGTGAATTTTGGCTGAAAATGTAAAAGTAATAATGTCCTACAAATGTTTTCGTGATAATATACTCAATGTGAATTCCCGATTCTTTGCAGATATTGTAGTTTTAGTAAGATGGATAGCAAATGAATAAAATCGATCCGTTGATGAACGAAACCAACTGTTTGATAGATGTAATGAAATTTATAAGCAAAAGATGAATTGAACAAACACCTTGAAATGACAATTGAGCTATTTTTCTTTCACCTTATCAGATTGTTATTTATTGACTTCTGATGCATAAAGTAAAACGGTCGATATAAGGAATTTGCTCAAAGTTTTGAGATTAAAATCATCAATGAGTGAACGAAAGGAGCAAACATGTGGAAGAAAGAAAGAAAAAGAAAGACAGAAAGAAAAAGAAAGACAGAAAGAAAAAGAAAGAAAGAAACTGACAGAAGAATACAACAAATTGAGAAATGAGAAAATCTGCGACAGAAAACAATAAAAGAAAATTTGCATCAAGAAGAAAGAAATGAGAGAAGCAAATCTGTGATAGAGATAAAATTCGAGCAATATTAACTGGACTGAGCCAAGAAACCTGCTTATCTATCTATCTATCTATCTATCTATCTATCTATGGAGTGTATCTGGTGAAGACAGCGGTCGTCTCGTGTAGGTGTTTATGGCGTTAGTATCATCTTTTGAAAAGGACTGACACATCTAACTTTTAAAAAAGTGGTTCTTGACAGTCTTCCTCTTTTACAAGTAAGAAGAACATTCAATCAACTACTTGACACTACTCAAATTCTAAATGATTTCTTCATAAATCTGGTGCTAGGATGTTAACAGTAGATCTTTTAACTGCTGCAAATTGCGCAGAGGAGGTTCCATCGAGCGAGCTTGTTAGTACAACAGATCCCATAAATAGCCATTGGTAGTGAGTTATAGCGCTTTGGTGGCCAGGGCAAAAGGTAAAACTTTATTTCTGACACCTTTCCTATATAAATAGTACTGTATAGCACTAGTTACTGTTGGAATATGCCATTTGCTATCTTAGAAGTGTATCTCGTGAAAGAGTGTATCTCGTTTTCTATGATGCTGAGACCGATGGGAAACAATAATTTATCTTCCACATGAATGAAACGATGTATTGTTTACTATTAAAATATTGCGCGATTAGTTACATTATTTTTATAAATTTTTCTCCACTGATTATCCTAATGTCATCGCTTCCTCGGTATAACGACGCACGTCACAGTATTCTTATTTAGAAGGAAGCGCTACTCATAAGAGCGGGCAAGCTTCATCCATTTCATAAAAGGTCCAATTCCGATGCGGATCGCTTGATTATCGATGATGCTACACAGGCCTATAAGTAACAATGATCAGTAGTGTGTCGTATCACCTTCTTTCGTTTATTTTGATTTAATTAATCATTTGTTAGCATCGTCCATCTTGGTGGGAAAGCCTCTGTTCACAAAACAATTTTTGACTACTCACTGCCTTAATGACGGTTAGTTATTTCTAGTTCTCCGGACGACTGCCACACCATAAATTAATTTTAATACCTCCCAAGTTGTGTTGCTTCTGAAATGTTCTGACCTAAACTTTTGATCATAACAATTTGGCATTTGAGAAATCACTCAAATATTTCTTCTTACTCATAACTGCGCCATTCAAAATTCTCAGAATAAAATAACTGAGGCCAGCTGACCTGCTTATAGACTATTATGTAGATATTCTTACCACATGTGGCTGGTTGTAATGATTTTACATAGCTGTATATATCTGTAAATCACTCACACACGCGCGCTCACTCCCTCACACATGCACACACACATACACATATATAAACATTCACACAGACTTGTATATTATGTACATGCTGATACACATTAATATAAATTTGGCTTTGGATTCTACTTATAAATGCTAGTGTATGTACGTATACACATTTAATTTCTCCCAAAATTCAACACTCCTCTGTCAATCACATGAGATATTTTCGAGAGAGCTGTTGTCGTTGGATAAGTGACGTAGCTTTCCTCTGTCTTTTCTACAAATATTTTCATGGCAACTGCTCTGGCGAGCCATTTTCCTGGTGCTCGGAGTACGTGAACTTAAGCGGGCTACTAGATTGACATCGAGGTACCAGCCTTTTACTGTTGAATTAGTTAAAGGTAACCGCCACTTCTACTCCAACAGTTTTTTTCTCGCACTTCCCACCTGTGGAACTTTCTTCCACTTCCTTGCTTCCCTGATGACTACAATCTTCAAAAATTTAAATGCAACGTCAATCGCCTTTTCTGCAATCTTCTTGAACTCCGTTCAGCTTTTATCCTTACTAGGTGTTTCCTATACCCAGTCTTTTCTCTCACCTTCGCTCTCTGTAATCTCCTGCGTACTAGTGGCATTCTCACCTTCCTTGGGGTGAAATGATTAAAAAAAGTCCCAAAGGACAATTTTTTAACAACATTCATTCATGATCCCTGGAATACTTTAAAGTTCTTTGCGGGATTAGGTTTAGGGATTTTTTTTTTTTCTGATTATGTCAAATATGTCTTTCAGGGGTGGGGAGCTTTTCTAAACATTTGCGGAGGTTCCGAAGGTGGCACACATGCTCCTTTTCTTCATCAACAAACCAAACACCACAAAGAGACAAATATTTGTGTTTGTTTATAGCATGTATGGCATTCACAACTCGCGTTAATAAAATTAGTAAACTTTGCAAAGATTACGAGAATGTCTGCAAACACAATTAGGTTCCTTCAAGAATCTAATGCTCGCTTTTTTCATGGAGAATCATCTTACTACAAGAATGATCTATTTATTAGGAGACAGTCTTTATATATATATATATATATATATATATATATATATATGAAGAAATATAGTCTTAAGATGTGCTATATTTATGGGATAAAGTGCTCGATATCAGAGATAGAGCGTGTGTAAGTATAAGAGTGAACATTGAAGTCAACAATTAGAGGCGACAGTCTATTTCATGCTAGATGCAATCGTCAGGCCACCCGCTTGACGATTGCATCTAGCATGAAACAGATTGTCGCCTCTAAATGTTGACTTCTATGTTCACTTTATATATATATATATATATATATATATATATATATATATATATATATATATGTGTGTGTGTGTGTTAGAGGGGCAAAGGTAGCGGAGTGGCTTTCCGTTGTGTTCCCGTGTTTAAGAATTCATAGTTTTAGACATTTAGACTGGTTGCCACGCACATCTAGACAGTCCAGTCTACTCTGCTATTTAACCATTCGTAAGTATTCAAAATGATTTTCAAGCATTATCCTCGATGAAGGTAGTCAGCCTTTTCTCTTTAAAATGCTGTTTGGGGCTGTCAGTTGACTTTTTGTGTTGTTTTTACTGACGCAATTTTTTTCAGATAGCAAGTTGCTGATTGGTGTAAGGTTTTATTCAATGTTTTAAAATCATGGCTTGTCATCTTAAATTCAACTATTACGAAAAGAAGCTTTGATTCAAACTTAAGAGAAAATCCTTTCACAATATTACTTGTTCTAGAAATGCAAATCCTAATATATTGATAATCAAACCCTATAATAATTATCATTGTATATTTTGTTGTCACCATTTTTGTCGTTCTGTTGCTAATCTTTTGCTTCTGAGACATATTTCCATTTCGCTGTTATATTAAACAAACTTTTTAACATGAAAAGATATTGAGCGATTTATATAATACTAGGAGTAATTAATCAATCATAGATGCCACTGAACGTCTAAAAATATAAAGGGAACGGATTAATTAAACGCGTCATTGACTTCTATTTTAGATTGGAATTATTTATCTCCACTTTATTGAATCTCAAAACTTTTCTTGTATTGCATCTCATTGTTAAAACTTTCTAACAACTGTCCTCATTTTGGATGGCATGAGTGCACTAGTACTATAATAGTAAAATATTAAAAACACAAATCCATTGTTTTATTCTTTTTACTATCATTTTCAACTAGTCGACGAAGATATTAAGTCTAACTTGACACCAATGATTTTATTTTTCGTTTTTACCAATTTTTCTTCTCCATTCTCTCTGACGTCTACATTAACTTCGCTTTTCTTTGGCGTCTTCGGCTTGAGATTAACTTCTTCCTTGCACTCCTCTGCCTTCTCCTACCAATTCCCCCTAATTACATCTGCACAGACACATTGTTCAACTCTCCCGACAGACCAACGCCTGTAGGGGAAAGCAACATCATCCTAATAATTCAAAAAAAGCGCTTTTCTTTCTTTCTTTCTTTCTTTCTTTCTTTCTTTCTTTCTTTCTTTCTTTCTTTCTTAATTGTCTCCCTTCCTTCTTGTCCTCATCTTTAAACTTCAGCCTCTTTCTAAACATCCCGCCGGAAGGTCAGCATCAGTTATTCAATATGTCTCGCACTGCATTTTGGGAAGTTTTACACCATATACACTTTGGACTCTCTTTCTCCAACTCCTTATCTTTACTTGTAATAAAAAAGTATAAATTAAAAAATAAATAAATAAATAAAATAATAATATAAAAACAATATAAAAAAACAAAAACATCCCCCCAAACAAAAAACAGGAGACACGTTGTGTTTATTTTATTTTTATTTTTTCGGTGTGTGTGTGTTGGGGGTGGTCACAAACCATAAGTGTTAGCAAATCGTGCAAGAATCGATTTTTCTTCGTTGCCGTTTCAACAATTTCTAATGCCAGCATAAGCGTCTTTGTTCGTCGGTGGCTACGTCACAATGGCGACATAAATTCCTGCTATTTTCTGCGAGTTCATTTGTCAGTATTTCACACACACATGCACAAAACCTTCCACCTGATGAAGATTCGAATGAACGATCGAAACATTTCAAATTCGAATCGAATGTTGAATGAAGGTACAGTTCCATGCATATTTTTGGAAAACTCTCAGAAATTTGCACATACACACACACACACACACACACACACACACACATATATATATATATATATATATGTCGAGAATCACATGCAATGAATTCTATAAGTATATTTACTATCCAGTTACAGACATATATATATATATATATATATATATATATATATATATATATATATATATATATATATATGTATGTGTGTGTGTGTGTGTGTGTGTGTGTAGACTCTAGATCATCAGTGTTACTCTGGCTCAGGCCCGTCCCTACCGGAGCTGCCACACCAAAAATCACGATATCTCCTTTTGAAAATGATGTAAACCCGAAAATTTATCTCTCACTCATAACGCAGCTTATTCTGGCCCATTACAATTTTTGCCAAAACTTACTCTGTGTTTACTTTAGGATCTAACAAGAATTTGATCATCTAAAATCTGACCTAAATATACGTATCTACAATTTTCATGGCGTAAATTTGTCGACTGAGTAAAAATATTATGCTATGAAACTCATATGAAAAAAATTTTATGGAATTTTTTCTGCTAATTAGGTAGTCAAGGATGTCATGCATATCTTTTCAAAATCAGGCTAAATTATGCACAATTAATTATTCCACATAAACGGACAATATTGTTAAAACCACATTCAAGACATTTGTCGAAAACTGGAATTTTCCTCAAAAGCTATCGAGGAATGCCTGAGAAGTGTTAACAAGTTATTGCAAATTATAATGAATATGTAATTGAATAAAATAAGATTGTAATTTATTATTGTTGCTAAATTATTTATGACTCAATCTTATATTTATATGCTTTTTTCCGGTGTTGTCAAGCTCTGTGAAAACGTTCTACAGATGACGTCACTCTTAATATACATATATTTGTATTTAAAATTTAATGTTACAATAATGTTAGAATAGAGATAATGCCAATTACCAACGATATTGTTATTTTCCGATGAAGACTGAAACAGTCAAAAGTACTCGGATAAAAAAAAAGGAAAAAGAAATACATGAAAATGTTCACCCTGATAAAAAACGTATTTCAGAAAAATACAATGAAAAATTAACACTGACCTTGTTGTTTGAATTTGATACAACTTCTTGAAATATATAATAATAATAATAATAATAGACTCTCCTGTCGTATTCAGTGTATGAGTATCCAGCAGCCCAGTTTTTAGAACCGAAAGCCAGACTACCCGCACATATAATTTGATTATATTGGTGAGGGCTTTGTGAAAAACCTGACGCACTTTTTGGAAGGACCGGATAAAGTAAATTGGTGCACATAGATCTCCCTTGATGCTGAATTCGGAGGTTTCCTTCACCTAAACTGATTGCTAACCAAGGCTATATGGCCCAGTCTGTCCTACTACTTACCCATAACATTAGAAAAGATGGATACATACATTCAGCAATGGTTTCTGCGCATAATTGAATGTGACGAACTCAATTGGAATTCGAACTCGACTCTCGAGTTTTCATTCCGAGTGTGCATCCACCAATATATATATATATATATATATATATATATTCGAACCTGCATCCTATACGGAACCGTCATTTATGCTGAAGTGCCTTAACCGACTCGGCCACAAAGGAGCGTTCGGTAGGCAAGGTCGAATTTACTGCTTATAAACTTCAATCTTCCATGAATCTCGTACATTCATAACTGCTCATGGCGTATCAAATGTAAACAAATGACGTCATACATTAAGAATTCTTAATGTATGACGTCATTTGTATACATTTGATACGCCATTTTAACATTCACACACACACGTACATACATACATGCATACATACATATATATGAAACGCGTTACAAAAAACTTTCCAATTTGTCATATTTTTCTAAATACAGTTTATACAAAATTATATATCGTTATGAAATACGCACACACACATACATACACACACAGAGACGCACCCATATATGTAT